GCACACTCAGGACCAGAGCCGCCCAAGCCCACATTCAAGAGAGTCAGTCCGGGGGTTCCTAGAGTAAAGACAGAAGGGTCTTGGGGTTGGGGCTCCCAGGAACCCTGGGCAATGTGTCCTCACCTCACACTGACTGCAAAGCTACAGAGTGTTACAACATCCATCTCATTCACCCTGGTGACCCTGGTAAATGCTTAATATATATTCCTGGTGTTGAATCCCAAGGCGATAGCATATAGTCCTTTTAGAGCTGAAAAGGACCTTAAAGGGCCTCAGAGACTACCTCTTCATGTTATAGATGCGGAAGCTGAGACCCAATGACAAGAGGGAAACATGCCCAAGACCACACTGCCAGAGTGGCTGCCATGTCTTTGGCTTCTTCCAAAGATGGAGACTATGGCAGGGGGACAGAGGAGAGGTGGGTGCCCGGCCAAGACACAACTATGTCTCCAAGAGGTAGCCAGAAGATGACAACCTATTTTGAGTTCTGGCTGCTCTGCCCAGGAAGTCCCTTTACATGGCCAGAAATGGTTCCCAAAGCTGTTGGCAGCTGCAGATGGGAGGCCTCCTGCAGAGGAAAAAGCCAAAGCCTGGGAGGGGTTCTATTCCTGGCTCTGCTCCAACTCCCCATATGACCTTGAGCCAACCTTGAGCATGAGGTCCCCTCTAGTCTCAGTGTGTCCAGTGAGGGGCTAGACCCAACCAGCTGGCCGGTTGGGGATTTCATCCATGATCTGCCTCTAATCTCCTGTGGGGCCTCCTCTCAATCAGCCTCAGTCCATCTTAGATTTTACCCACCCAGCTCAGCACAGGAAGTGGACCAGGCTCAGGAAGAAAACAGCAGCCTGTGGATTCCGCTCCGCCTGGGAGCAGCATCTTCTATGCCCAAGCTTTGCTTTCCAGCTTTGAAATTCCCAGAGAAACAAAAAGCTGGGAAGGCTCTTAAGATGGCTCCAGTGAGAAAAGCTGGGACCAGAAAGGGTCAGCAGATTGTTCAAGGTCACACAATGAGTCATGTGCAAACTGGGAGTGAGCTTTGGATCTGCTGACTCCCAGACCAGTGTACTTTCCACTGACCACACTACCCTCCCACATAGCAGGCACATAAACCAGCCTCTTGTGAACTTGGCCATTGATTTTCCTTGATGGCTCAAAAATCCACACAGGGAGCCTACACTCTCTTCCCTTGTCTGGGACTCAGTTTTCTCTTCTCTAAAACAGGGAGTTGGGGTGCACCAGATGTCTCTAGCAGCCCTTCCACCCCAACACTAGGTATCTCCAAGGACCCCAGGGCTTTCCTGCATGGCTCCTGCTGACACCCACCTCAGCCCTTTCCTTACAGAGGGTAGGGCTACCCAGGCCAGGAATCCCAAGTCTCACCCCCCATCCATCCCTGTCCCACCCCAGACCCTGGGGCTGGGCTTTATCCAGAATTACAGGCTCCAGCCCAGCCCCACCTCTGAGGATCTGGATTTGTTCTTACCATAAAAGGGCAAGTGTGTCTCTCTTGGTCCCTGCTGCCAGCCCCACTAGGGGAAAGGCTGGGCTATTTTTAGAAAACTCAAGGGTTTGCTCCTGAACTCAAGATGGAGCTTGTCTGTGCCTGCACCCTGGGAGCCCCTCCTCATCGTCCTCACGCACCTTCTCTCTCTCTCCCTTCACTTTTCTTCCTCTCTCCATCTGGCTCTCAGCCTCCCTCCATCAATCTCTCTTCCCTTCCTCCCTTCCTCTCCTCCCACCTCTCCTCTCCTTTCTCTCTTCCTTCCCCCTCACTTCTCCCTTCTCCCAAATCTTTTTACAGTCAGCTTCTCTCCCCAACTTCCCTCCCTCAGATCTCGTTTCTGGTGGTTGGAGAAAGTAACACATCTGCACCCCCACCCCCTTCTTAAACACTATTTACAACATAAATTCCAAACATCCGCCATCTGGTTCAAGGGGGGCCAAGAGACATTTGGAGAAGGAAGTCATGATTATTCCGTCTTCAAAGCAAACAGGACGTAAAGGCCCCCTCTTCTCTCTCACCTTCCTCCGGGGGCACCTTTGTGGATATCTTAGCAGTTATGATCCCTCAGTGAGCAGAGGAGGTCAGGACATCTGCTGGAGTCCCAGCTGGGCCTCTGATTGGCTGTGCCACTTTGAGTTGGTTGCTTCTCCTCTCCATGCCTCAGTTTCCTCATCTGAACAATGGGTGCGAGACTGTGGTGCTTCCAGCACTAATGCTCCAAGACTTCAAGTCCTAGTGCAGAAAATCCACCTGGTCTGGCTCACTGGGGCCTGTTTTTGGCTAAGCAATGAGGGGTGAGGTGGGGCAGGGGACGCTGGCGGCAGCTGGAGAGCTCCATCCCCACCCCTGGACATTGCTCTCTCACTCCATGGATATATGTGCAGACCATTCACCCTCCTTCACATGCACACGCACACCTGGGGGGGCTAGATGGGGTCACACAATCCCCCTCGTCTGACCTGGGAGGACCCTGGACACCACAAAGTCCAGTCCTCTCCCCACAACATCATCCAAATGCGGGCTGTGAAGCTCAGAGAAGGGACGCCTGTCCACAATCACACAACGTATCTACAGCAGACCTGGTGTCTAGTCTGCTGCTCCTCTCCCCCAGCACATTCCAGAAGAAACCAGTATGTGTATGATCCAGAAAGTATCACCCAGTCCCAGCAACTCCCCCAGAACTCTGGAGGGCCCTGTTCTTTGCAAAGTAGACAGAACAGAAAGGAGACCCAACTCCTTTATCATCATGGGGGGGGGGGGCGGCAGGGGTTAAAGATGACCGGTAAGGGGATCTTAGCCCTTGACTTGGTGTTGTCAGCACCACGCTCTCCCAAGTGAGCCACAGGCCAGCCCTACGTGTGTGTGTGTTTTTTTAACAGACAGCATGTAAAGGAGAAATACTGTGGCAAAGAGGCAAACAACCACAAAGTGAGAAGCCCCCTTGCTTCCCGTGGCATGCGGCCTTGCCAGGGCCCAGATAGCCTCCACTTCTACAGCAAATGCTTTCTGTTCACTACTCACTCTCCACAAAGACTAACACACACCTGAAAAATGCCATGAGGTACTGTCTTGGGTTGTTGCTCTGTAAGAGGATGCCATGGAGAGTCTGGTCTTACAGGGGAGCCATGAAAATGCATGTTGGGCTGCCTGGACCCAATCCTGACCCTGACACTTACTTGCTGTGTGACCTTGAAGGTGCCTCAGTTTCCTCATCTGCAAAATGAGGATAAGAATAGTATCTAACTCACAAGCGGTTGTGAGGATCAGATGAGGAAACCGAGGCAAAATAAAGCACTTAGCGAGTATGGGTGCGTCACGAGCACCCCCCAGTGCACCTTGGGTACAGCAAGCAGGTCAGGTGATAGCTCTCATCATTGTCCTCTTTTCTCAGCTTTTGCTCTCACTGGAAGGCCAGGGTGGTGGGAGTCATAGGGATCCTGGCCTCCATGGCCCCTACCCCCAGGGCTCAAGCCACTCGAGGCCAGGCTTGGGACTCGAGGCTAGGCAGGTCTGAGCCTCTTTTCTTTTCCTCTCTTCGCTTTTCCCTGCATCACTCTTATTTCCACTCAAACTGCATTCCCAGGGCTTGCTCAAAAGTCCCTCAAGCAACCTTCCCAGGGGAGGAAGTAGGGAGCGTGTGAGGCTGGTGAACTCAGCTGGGCTGCAAAGGGGTGGGAGGGCACCCTGGGAGCAGAGGCCCAGGGAAGCTGTGCAACAGAGGGGGCACGGAAAGGGGCCCACATGGTGGGTCCCACAGCCAGCTTCCACCTCCCGTCTGGAGGCCCCTCAGACCTTTGCCCTCATCCTCCTTGCGCCTTCTCGTCCTCCGTGCTAACAATGGAAACTGCAGCTGTTGGTTGTGGGTTTACTGTGTGCCTGGAGCTGAGCTTACAGTCAATATCTACCTCCTTTGGCCTTCACAAACAAGCCTGTGAGGTCGGAAGCTGAGGCTCAGAGAGCTGAAGACGCCAGCTCTAGATCACACAACCAGTAAGTGCTGGAGGTGAGACTCAAATGCAGGTCTGCCTGATTCCAGGGCCTGCATCTTCTCTCCTCTTTCCAAACATATGGTGGAAACCTTGGGGCCCTAGAGCCCAAGAAGAGCAAAGGCTGTCATATGTGCACACACGTGACGGGACTGAGGAAGGGGAGCTGTGGGCAAGGATGCCCCTCCAGGACGGCTGTGAGAGTGGGTTCATGAGTTGCCTGGAGCCCCGGCCTCAGCCCTCTCCCCACTGTGGTGCCATCTGGCTCACAGATGTAGCCCATTCCCAGCCCCTTGTGTTTCCTGGAAATGAGCAAGGCCAGGAAAGGGCACGGGGACTTTTGCAATGACCAAGACAATATGATCTTTGCCCAACCTCAGGAGACAGCCAGGCTGAGTGTGAAGAGCCTGGGTTCAAGCCTGTCTGTGACACTGGTCAGCAGATATCTCTGGGCAAATCGCACAGCCTCTTTGAACCTCAGTAAGGGGAAGAGTTACTCTTAACTCTGACAGTGTTTGTGAGTGTTCCTGGAGTTATGGAGGGAGCGTTTGCAGGCTGAGAGCCTTCTGCAGCTAGATGGGGTCACAAGCAGCCATGAGGCTGTCCCTTTGGTCTTGGTCACTGTGTTAGCCCCAGGTTTCAATCCACTCCTAAATGTCTCCTTTCTTCTGTGTGGGGGCCACTGGTGAGAGGTGCCTCTGGGAAATTTCCTTCCCCATCAGGTTTTCTACTGAAGGTGGCCCCTCTCACTCTTGGAGCTTGGAGTTTCTCAGAAGACCCCCTTTAAAAGCCAGGCAGGCACAGCATGGATAATGGCAGCCTGGGGCCCAAGTGCGGGCTCTTTGCGGCCTGGAAAGTCTCAGCAGGTTCAGCCTGAGGTTTCTAAGTATCCAGCAGTGGCCCAGGCCCATCCTCAGCCCCGGCAGCTGGGTCAGGACCCTCAGAGGCCAGGGCTCTGGCCCTAGGGCACCCAGTATCCTTCTAACAGGTGGGATCTTTGTTTTATCCAGGCAAGGGCACTGGCCGGTAGAAGCCATCCCTACACCCCGATGTCAGAGAAGCAAGAACCGCAGAGAGGGAGCTCCTTGGGCACCAGAGGAGAACTGTGAGTGACTCCTACCTCCATGCATCCGGCACCACATTCGTCCCCCACCGCCACTCCACCTTGCAGGCAGCTCCTGTAGGAACTCGGGTCCCTGGGAATAAACTCCCCATCCCAGCCCTCAGAATGACCAAGAAACCAGTCCTCAGAGAGGTGAAAAGCAAAATGGGACTTGGTGGAAAGAAGGCCAGCCCTTGGGATTGGTGGAAGTGTGGGAAAGGCAGGACTGTTGGGGTCTGAGCTATAGATGAAAAGAAATGGAGCCACAGAAGGAAAAACCACCCTCCTGGAATTCACCCCATCCTCCCTATGAAATAGCAACACAAATTTTGCGTGATTTTGTGAGCAATGGACCGGAGGAACATGCGGATAATAATAGCGATCTTCCCTAGAAAGGAGTAAATAGGATTGGACTCTAGGAGCAGGAAGACCCAGGGTGGTGTCACCTTGGACAGGTCACTTAACCTCTCTGACCCTAGTGATAACGAGCCAGCTGTTGGGTTTTCAGAGGGTTTGTGAGGTCAGGCTTGCATACTGGGTGCACAGAGCCTGGCACACAGTTAAGCTCAAGATAGTGGTTCTTTTTATCATTCAGCACATTCTGCCTGCACTTGCCACTTTTTAAAGGCACTTTCACACTCATGGTGGAACAGGCAGGGTAAGTACCGGCTCCATGAGACAGATGGAGAAACTGAGGCCTGGGGAGGTGAAGGAGCTCCCTCAGAGTTGCATGGACAGTCAGCTGCAGAGGGGAATTCTGGCACCAGATCTCATGTGGATGGAAAAAGTGGAGGAAGATTGGGAGGTGAGTGGAGGGGAAGGGAGAAGGAGGTAGGGCTCCAGCAAGAAGCTGACACCCCAGGGACAGGGGACAAGGCCCAGGCCCGTCTTACATAACACAGTCCACCTGTTCACCCCTGCATGCCCCACACACTTGTGCAAACGTGCACCCCAGCACAGCACACACCCGGTCCTCACTCACTAGCAAATGAGCCATGGAGACTGGGTCTAAACAAATTGGATTAGGAGGTCTGCAGGCGCCTCCTCCCCCCGACTGTCCGGCTCTGACACTAAGCAGGCCTGCAGAGCTGCCAGCTGCAGTCTCTCAGCCCCACTGACAGTCAGTCGTTGGCCCCTTCACCCCGCCTCCAGGCCCCAGGAAGGAGGCTGGGGTCCGAGAGGATGCCACGATGATGGATGGGGTGAGGGAGGATCCAGGGCTAGCTTAAGAGCACACAGGATGTTAGTGCTTGTGCGAGGCACATTTCTGGGCCGTTCCCAGCAACCCGCCCCTACCGCCCCTTGCACCCTCCCCTCCTGCAGCCTCTCCCATGGCCACTGCTGCTGGGCCGGAGCCCAGGCCCTGAGCAGACCCCTCATCTCTCAGTCCCACAGCTGGGCTGAGCAGGGAGTGGTCAGCTCAGAAGACAGTGGCCTGGGGATGAGACACAGAGGGGCTCTTCAAAGGGAAGAAGGAACTTGTGAACAGAATGACAGTGCCATCTTAAAGGTGGCTTCTTAGTGCTTTCTCATCCAGTGTTTTGTTTCATCCTAAGAATGTGCCTGGGACTTAGGGGATTGTGCCCATGGTACAGAAGTGACCACTGAGGATTATTCATTCAGTGATTCCACAACACCCACTTCCTGAGCCCTGAGTCTGTGCCAGGCCCTGTGTGATTTGCTGAGACACCAAGATGAATGACTTTCAGCCTCTGCTTCTGTTGCTTAAGGGACTGTCTCCTTTGGGCTGGGCCACTGGGCACTAGGGCCTCCCTGGTCCTCCAGGGAAGCAGCTCCAGCAGAATCCCTTTTCTGTAAGACATTGGATATTGCCTTACCTATCACCCCATTCAGAACACATACCCTGACACCAGACAGCCCCAAGTTCAAATCCTGTCTTGCTCCTTTTCAGCCGGATAGTTGTGGTCAAATTGCCGACAGTCCCTGACTTGTGACAGTTTGACTTATGATTTTTCAGCTTTATGATGATGCAAAAGCAATATGCATTCAGCAGAAACCATACTTCAAATTTTGAATTTTGATCTTTTCCTGGGCTAGCAATATGCTACATATATATACTCTTACATGAGATATTCAACACTATCATAAAATAGGCTTTTGTTGGGACGATTTGGCCCAACTGTAGGCTAATGTAAGTGTTGTGAGCACAGTTTTTAAGGCAGGCTAGGCTAAGCTATGATGTTCAGTAGCTTAGGTGCATTAAATGCCTTTTCAGGGCCGGCCTGGTGGTGCACTGGAGAGTGCGCCGCTTGGGAGCACGGCGGCACTCCCGCCGAGGGTTCGGATCCCATGTGGAGACCGGTTCCCGCTCACTGGCTGAGCGCGGTGCGGGCGCAACACCGAGGGTTGCGATCCCGTTACCGGTCAGTAAAAAAGACAAAAAGGAAAAAAAAATGCCTTTTCAACTTAAGATATTTTTAACTAACACAGGATTTATTGGAACTTAACCCTATCGTAAGTCAAGGAGCATCTGTACTTAGTCTCTCTGAGCCTATTTCCCTTCTGGAAAATGAGGATACAAAAGCTCCCGCCTCGAAGGGCTGACGGTGAGAATTAAATATTATTTTCTATACCCTCATTTTACAGAGGGAGAAACAGAGGCCCAGGAAGGGAAAGGGCTTGGCCAGTGTCACATCCTAACTTGGAAATTAAACCAGGACCAGGTGGGTCCCCTCTTCTCTGGGTGTTCCTCTTCCCCCACCCCTTATTCCAGTATAAGTCCCCCCCCCCACTCGCTCTACCCCAAGCAGCCCCAAGGTCAAGACAGTCTGATTACCAGAGCGTGTCCTATGTCCTGCCCTGGCCTCTGTAGCAGCAGAGTCCCAGGTGGGCAGCAGTGGCCCCCAGCCCTCCGAGTGGCGGTGGAGGGTGGGGAGTGCAGTGGCAGCAGGCTCCCAGCCCAGAGCAGCCAGGCCATATAAGGGAAGGAGCCTAGGGAGGCCTCCTGGCTCAGGCCTGGCGAGAAAACCCAGACAGCCACTGTTTATTTTCTCCTCCCCAGGCTCCCTTCACCCACGCCTGCCCCGGAGCTTCCCGACAGAAGACAGGTTTCCCCAGACCAGCAACATTTCCTGAAGACATGGGAAGCAGAAAGGAGAAACAGTCCATCTGCCTGGGAGCAGTCCCCCAAGCTGCCAACAACTAGCTCCGAGAGCTGAGCCCCAGGTAGGATTCTGGGGCCACCCGGTTCAACTGCCTCCTTCACAGAAGAGGAAACAGAGCCACAGAGAGAAGGGCCTGGTGAGAAGTAACCAGGCCAATTGGCGATAGAAAATGGGACTCCCGAGTGGCCTCTCTCATCTCCTGACTAGAGATCCAGAGTGTTAAGAAGCCTTTCATGGGGTAAGTGGAACAGGGGGGGCCATAGACCCCTCCCTTCTCAGTGAGACCCTCATTTGAAGGAGACAAGGGACAAGCACTGTCTGCCAGCCCAGCAAGTGTGCAAGACTCAAAGGAAGAGTTCCTGGGCAGAGAGCCAGGGAAGGCACCTCCCCCGTGCAGCTCTGCCCCTGCTCCAGCCCAGCCGCACCACCTCCTCCTCCAGGAAGCCTTCCCAGCTCCCCCCAGGGCCAGGAACCTCTTTGTCCTCTAAGCCCTTGGCAGAACTCTCTTGGGCTCTCTCTTGTCCCACTTGGTCCGCCCCTATTCACTTTGCAGGGGCATTTTCCTTCTACCTCAGCCTGACTGTGCTCCTCTAGAACAAGGTCTCCATCAGGTTCAGCCCCAACTCCCTTTGGCCCATGGAAGAGTCACTCGGTTTGCTGAATGAACAGGTGAAATGATTAGACTCAGGCCCAGAACCAGAGGACTGGTTAATTGGTCAGGTGTTGAGACATCCAGCATAGAGATTATAAATGAGGGTTCTGGAGTTGGCTGTACTGAAGAAGGAACCCCAGGCTCAGTTCCTAGCTCTGTCCCCTTGGAAAATTCCCTTCCCATGGAGCCTTGGGGATGAACATTCAATAAATGACCGTTCTTATCGCAGTCATCATCATCATGATTATTCTAGAAACAAAGGAACAGAACTAGGCAGCCTGCAGCCGGGGATGGGACAGACCCAAGGACCACAGAGAAGATGGAGGCAAATGCCTTTCCTGGTCAAAGGCTGTATCTGTGCATCAGTTTCTCCTAGAGGCACATGGGACAGCCTGCCTTCTGTTTCCTGTTTCTAAGCCCAGGAGAGATGCTATCTTTGCTGCAGCATTCTTAACCCATGGAGTGTAGTGGAAATAGCCCTCAACTACCCTGGTTGGAGCTCAGGCTCCACGGCCCTGGAACAGTCTCCTCCACTTCTGGTGCTCTATGTGGAGGTGACAGCATCCCTTGCCAGCCTCACCAGCTGTCCTAAAGATCAAATGGGATCAGACACTGCTTCCCAAATTCAGTCATCCAGATGCCCCCTTTTTTATTTTTGCCATGTCCGCTTATAATGTTTTTAAAGGTGAGTCCTTTTTAATATTCACATAGTAACAGCTACTGTAAATGGAAAACCATAACACTGCCCATAAGGAGGAGATAAAAGTAACAATAAATCCAGTAAAAATGAAACAACATTTTTACACATTAACCTGTTCCTGTGGCTTGCAAGGCCCTGGGCCATAAGCAGGAATTAGAAAGGGTCAGACACAGGATGTCACGAAACTGAGGCTTTTTCCTACCTGGTGAATAGAAGGACTGAAGGCAAATTGGTGGGGAACTACCTGAGTCACTCTGTGTTCCCAAGTGAGTTAGGGCTGAGCCACGATCTCCCGAAAATCACTCACCCCACCTGCTTCACTTGGGAAGCCAAGGGTGGCTTAGGTGAAAGAGCTTTGGAAATAGTCATGTACAACATGAAGGCAGGGGACACTCCTCATCAGCTTGGTTCCTGGCAGAAAATCACTGTTTTTCAGGACAACCTTTTTTGGCTTCTTACTGAACCCTCCTTTTTGGTCCAACTAAGTATTTCTCTTCCAGGGCCAGCAGGAGCCATAGAGAGTGGAGGAGGCAGGCTTTCCATGACCCCCAAGTGAGTCCTGATGTTCAAATCACTCCCCAGCCAAGTGCAGTTCGAAAAGAGGTGCTGCAAGAGAATTCAGTATGAGAGGAAGGCAGTTCTTTGGCCGGGAATGCCTCAGGAAGGGGTGGTCCCTTCAGCAGGCTGTCAGAACTGACCTGCTCCAAGTGACAAACCAGAGCAGTATTCCCACTCTTCCTGGAGTTTGGCCTGAATTCAGATTGCTGCTAGTAGCATAGGAGATACTCCTTTTTTTTTTTTTTTTTTTTTTTAAATAAAGGTTTTTTTTTTTTTTTGGTTTTCAGTTTTTTTACTATTAAGTTGTTTAAGTTCCTTATATATTCTTGATATTAAGACTCTGTCAGATACATAGTTTGCAAATATTTTCTCCCATCCCGTAGGCTGTCTTTTTGCTCTATTTGTTTCTTTTGCTGTGAAGATTTTTAGTTTGATATAGTCCCATTTGTTTATTTTGTGCCCTGAGGAAAGGCTGCCCTTCCCCTTAGGTATCCATGAAAGTATGTGTCACCCAGCATCAAGGCCACTACACTGACCATTAAGCAAAATAGGAGGGTCCTCTGGGGTGCCCTGAGGCCTTTTTGGGAGCAGGAAAAATAGAGAAGGGGCTCTGCCTGCTTATCTGGAAATTTCTACCCAAGCCAGGCCAGAGAAAAAAATGAATCACCTGCATGGTCATTCAGTCAGCCATCAAATGGCATTTTGGGGGATCTATCACCATGCACAAAGCCATCAGCAAGGCCTGGGGACCTCCAATTGAACAAGATGTGAGCACTGTCCACAGGGAACTGGAGGTGTAAGTCAGTCAGACCCACATGCAAATAACTCTGGAACTAGAGATCCTGAGATTGAAGAATATGGTTCAACCTTTCAACCAGTACTTATTTGGCATCTGCACTGTCTGGCCCTGATTTCGGTGGTGAGTACAACCAACAGGGTCCCTTCCTTCATAGCTCGTCCATGCAGTCTACATGTGGAGGTGGCCATTAACGAAAACTACAGCTCAAGTGTGGCAAAGGATTAGAAAGAGGGCACGAGATGCACAAGAACATGGACCAGGGTGTCCTGGTGTCTAAGGAAGTCAGGAAGGGCTTCCCAGAAGTGGCATTTGAGTACAGACCAGGCGCACAGAGAGGAGACGGGCAGGGGAACAGCACAGCACCTGGGGAGTGCAAGGTCACTGGGTGCAGGGCTCCCTGGAGGGACAGAAGGACAGAAGGATGTCTATGGGGCTGGAGCATAGCAAGAGCGGGGGCAGTGGCCCAAAGAAAGAGGCCACCGGAGCCAGATGGGCAGGTCCTCACAGGCTTTGGTGAGGCCTTCAGAATTTAGTCTGAGGGCAATGGGGAGCCCTTTAGGGATTTTTATCTGGGGAAAGATATGACCATATTTGCATTTTGAAAAATGTCTTTGGGAGGATGGGTGGGAAGAGGGAGAAGAGCAAGAAGGGAGACAGGTTGGAGGCAATTGTTCGATGACATAGAATATCAAGTTCCGTGAACAGTGCTGTTCGGCTGGGAGGCGTCGAGCATAAAGGAGGGGCCCAGGGTCAGAAAGGAAGGGCAGCATATTGGATGATTCCATTTATTGAAGAGTTCAGAGTAGGCAGATCTGTAGAGACAGAAAGCGGTCTGCCCAGGGCTGGGGGTGGGCTAAGGATAAGGGGTTCTTATTTGGGTGATAAAATATTCTAAAATTGATCGTGGCAGTGGTTGCACAACTTTGTGAAAGTATTAAAAACCATTTAATTATACACTTTAAATGGGTGTTACCTATCTCAATAAAGCTGTTTTAAAAAGAAAAGAAAGAGAAGGTTGGGATTTGGTCCCAGAGGGCTCATATGGCAGGCCAAGGACAGGACATGCAGGGGGTGGTTACAGCAGTCTCAGGCCAGAGCTGGAGGTCCCCTCTAATGCCCCTTCTCCTGCCCAGGGTGGAGTCTCCGCCGCCGGCCAGCAGAGCGGAGCAGCGCAGCGCCCTGTCTCCCAGCCTGAGGTGCAGTGCTGCATCTCTGGTCAGTTGGGAGTCTGAGATGAAGCACTGTAGCTCGGGAAGGGAGAAGTTATTCTGCAGCCCCCAGCCGGGAAGTGGTAAGTCAGGGTGGGAGAGGGGGGATTACCAGGAAGGACAGAGTGTTTCCAGATTCAACACTGTCAGCTGTTTGCAGGGCTGGGGAAGTTCCTGGACTCGATCTCTACCCATGCCACTATCTGCTTTGTGATTCTGGGCAAGTCATGGCTCCACTGTGCACCCCAGTTTGTCCGTCTGGAACATGAGGTGTTGGACCATTCGGTGGTGTTCATTACCCAACACCCGCCTCCACTTTCTCTGTCTGAGCCCATGGAGGTCCCTGCTAATCAGTCAAGTCATCCATTCTTGAAGTGTTCAGATGCAGTTGCAGAATTCTTCTCAACACTGAGTCCCGGAAAGCCACTGTTAATGATTCAGAGATGAAACCCATTTATCATTTGTGGGCCAAACAATTCTTAAAACTGCTTTCAGCTCTGAAGACAAAAGTCCTAGGTTTTGAGTCAGAGTCTTTACTCTCTGATCTGCTAAACTTTGGCTCTGGGCTATTGCCTAAACCAGTCCAGGCATCTCACAAATTCCAGAAGCTTCAGACAAGCAATGAACAGCAGAGGAGAAACACTCGGCTAAACACAGTATTTAACCTCCCAACAAGCTTGGGAGATGGGCGGTGTTATAGGCCCATTTTACAGATGAAAAAGCTGAGGCTCAGTTAAGATACTCACTCAAGATCACACATTGATTGTGCTGAGCTGGGGTTGTACCCTAACCTGTCTGCCTCCAGACCCATGTTCTTACCCATTGCATGTGATTATGGAACCTGGGACAGAAGAGCAGGAGGAGAACATAGTATATCCTGCTGTAGTCTTGTCTTTACATCTTGGGTCACTCTTAGCAAAAACAAACCCAGGCACTTTCTATTAATCCTACAGACTCCCTTCTTCCTAACCCCCCAAAATCTTATTTATCTTGCCTGCCCAGTAGTCCTATGCAATCCCATTTTGCAGTTAAGGAAAGTCAAGGCCCAGAGGTTAAGTGACTTGCTTGGAGGTCATTAGTGAAGAAGTTGCCAAATAGAGACTGGGAACTGGATCTGCCCAGTTGGTTTAAATCCACTCCTCTGCTCCAGAATACACATGACCCATGGCAGTTGTAGGGGGCAGGGGCAGCGGTGGGGGGGCCCCACGGTTTGTGGCTGACCACATCATCAAAGTCTGGCCTTTGACTGGAGGGAAGGTACTTCCCAGGGCACTTGAAGTTCCAGTCACTGCTCCCCCGGGAGCAATGGGCCACATCCTGCAATACGTGGCACCCCACTCTGGCTGCTTCAGATGGGGCTGGATGCAGAAGAAAACTCCAGTGGCCATTAGGGACATGGCAGGCCTTGGTGCCGAAGGCCGCTCTCTCTCACCTTGTCCTCACGGTCCAGTTTTCCCAGGAATCCCTTAGATGCTAAGATGGGGATTCCTGGAAATACTGTTCTTGAGGTCATGGCTTAACAGCTGGATTCTCCTCGTTCCCATCCCAGAGTTGCCCCCGTGGGGCCTCGGCTCAGGCACGGGACGCAGGTCCCATAGAAGGCCGCGCACTGGAGGTAAGAGGGCTTGCGAACCACATTCTTGACCTTTAAGTTGCTTTTCTTTCCGCTGTATGCATTTCGTAACATCCCTGTGAGGCTGGATGTGGGAACTTCAGCACTGTCGTACTCTTGGGAAATGTGTCTGGAGTCACTCTGCTGAGCAGCGGTTAAGCTGGGACACAGTGAGGCCTGTGTCTCTCCTGTCTCCGCCATCCCTCACCCACTTCCCAGCACGCCTGGGGCAGGGGCGCAGGATCATATCCACATTACTGATAAATTAATAATCGCACACGAGTTCATTTCACAAGTTGATTAATCAGTTAGATAAACTAAAAACCACACGTTGTAGTTTGATTTGGAATG